ACCGCATTTGAAGCACACTCTTCCCGTAAGAGGTCTCGATTTAGAGATCTAGACTTTCCTCACTTGTCTTTTCCTGGCTCATTTCTCCTTCCTCTAGCAAACAATCCCTGCGCTTGTTCTTTGTTACCACCAGTAGTCATGTCACTGGTTGCAATCTTTCGAAGGTCATCTGCTAGAAGCGCCGTTCTAGTCTCATCCATCGTCAAATTGTCTCCCACAAGCATCAATGTTTGCACCAGGTTCTCATAAGACTTCGGCAGAGATAAAAGTAGTAGAAGCGCCTGATCCTCGTCTTCCACTGTCACCTCAATGTCTTTCAAACAATAGAGGGTAGTCTCATGCTTTAACTTATGTGTCTATGATGATGAGTTTATGTGTTGATTTTCATGTCTTTTCTTGTCTCATGCACCATACCTATCTGTTACATTGCATGACTTGTACACTTGATTGATTCTAACTGTCCCTATTTTGAGTTTCCAGCTTGAGTGTCGCGTGACTGTTCAGCGAATGCAAAATGGCTAGCTTGTGAGTTTGGGTGACTGTTTAGCAAGTGCAAAATGACCAGCTTGAGTGTCTTTTATTGCAGTTTGCTAGTATCATTGGGTACTTCTGGGTACCTATCTGCATAATTTCCTTTCGTCTATGCTGAGATTTTCCTTTTCTCGAGGTAGAGTGCCATTTGAGATCATATCCAGACTTGTGACATTTTTCATTTACGCTTACGCACTTATTTGCCGTCATAATGTAATTTTGTGATGTAATGAGGAATATTGTATACACAGATGTAATCATTAGGCTTAGATATAAGGATGGAGTTTGGCTCTTGTGCGTATGCTACCGGCCGATTTATGTGTGTATTTGATAGAAGTGGCGAGAGACAGAAAAGGTTCTTCAGATTTCATGCATGAGAGAATTTTACACGCTTCCCAAAAGGGTAAGGGTTTTTTGGATATTAGACCTCCCAATCTTCAATATTTTGAAAATAGTCCAAAATATGCCGAGTGTTTTTAAATTAGTTCCCCAAATTGCTCAATCTGGTGCTGACTACATGTTCTAATTTTTGGTTAAAATTTGGCAATATATTGTATTTATACAGCCCCCACGCACGCCACACCCGCGCACACACCTTTTTCGCCACACCCCCAAACCCCAAATAAATAAATAGATAATAAAAAACACGCGCAACAACACAAAAAGGGTTCAAAGAGTGGTTTTTATCCTCCATGAACTTATTTCTCGTCGCTTATCCCCAAGATTTCAAGATGCAATTATCCCTCTCAAGCATAATTAAGACGAAATTGGCCCTAAATTGTTTCATTTATGCTTTTGGAATCCGGGACATGGACATATTGAGCCAAATTTATTTTATATTATTCTTTCTAGTGTGCAATACATGCTAGTATGGATTTTATGTTCTCAAATTTCTCGTCTTAAATTGTTTCACTTATGCTTTTTGAATCCGGGACACGGACATATTGAGCCAAATTTATTTTATAATAATTTTTTCTAGTGTGCAATACATGCTAATATGGATTTTATATTTTCTCAAATTTCATTAAAATTTATTTATTTACTAATATTCGCAAATTGAAGGAGTTGTTCAAACTACAAAAGTCTTTTTTCGTATGAAATTTAATGATCGTTTTTCAGTTTTATTTCTCATAGGCTTTAATCATCGTTTTTAAGTTTTATATTTCTTTGTCAAATATTTGTATTGTAGGTCCAAGACGTAATATAAGATAATTAGAAAAAAAAATTATTTTTTTGGTTAATGTGTCCATGATGTGATGCCAAAAGAAGATATGAAAAATTAAGCGATAATTTCGTCCTAAATATGTCTCGAAAGGTATTCGCAACAAATTGAAACCTGGGAGGGAAAAGTGAGGAGGAAAATAGTTCAGGGGGATAAATGCAAATTACCCTTAAATTTTTGCAAGAACTACAGGTGATTGACTTTTGTTTAAGATGTACCTTTTGGTTGAATGCAGATTGAATTTGTTAATAGTTGTAGAACGTTTAGTTATGAGAGGAATGTGGGTTTTTATTGTTTCTAAGACAAATATGGGAATGCTTCTTCTTGCAGTTTTGTTGTTTACACTTCTTGCTAGTGCAATTTGCAAAGATTCAAAGAGCTGAGGTATCTAAAGCAAATAGGGACAATTTTGGCAACCTTTTAATTGGGTCAGGATTGAACTTGTCCCTATTTTAAGTTGTTTCTTGTTTGGCAAATTCCCAAGCTAAACTAGCCCTATTTTTGGCCCAGAAACCTTTTTTTTTTTACCAAGGGGAAGTTGATCCAAAAGAAAACTAGCTTAGGGGGGGTTATTCATTGGTGTAATTTTGGGGATAATGGGATAATTTTTGGAACAATAATGTTTGGTGTTATTCATTGGGGTATTTGGAACTGGAACCAACTTTGTGGTATTATTGGTTTGTTGGGATAAATGTGGGACAAATACCCCACTTACCCCAAATTACCCCAACTATATAAGCTCTTCTCAGCCCCACCCCCCGAATTTACCCTATTTTTTTCGCTGGAACAAGAGGGGAACAGAATTACCCCATTTTTTTTCCGTCGTCGTCGTTCCCGAGCAGGGATTTCCCCACCGCCATCTCCTCCGCCTCCTCCGTCGTTCCCGAGCAGGATAGTCGAAGACGAGTGAGAGCCGAGGGTCTGAGCGATCCGGAGCGGCTGAGCGGATCTCGAAGCGAGTGGGGTCCGAGGGTCTTCGTCGGCGGCGACGCCGAGATCGAGGAAGAGGAGGGCGAGGAGAGGGCTGGGGAGGAGCGCCTCCTTCGAGGCGAAGAGCGATGAGGCGCTGTACAAGATCCCGGGGAGAATTGATGCTGATGATGGGCGTCTCGCCTTCTCCCTTTTCCTAAATCCCCCAAACCTTTAAAACTAGGACAAATTTTCAAAATGAACCGATTTCGAATTTTAAATAGCAAAACCGACCTTATCGAAATTTAAATAGCAAAACCGACCCTTTTCAGAAGAAAAGGGTCGGTTTTGCTGCGGAAGATTTTTTACGACATACACGGGACTGCTAGTCCCGTGTATTTCGTGGCAATTTCGAATAACACGGGACTAGCAGTCCCGTGTTTATTACAGAGAGGAACGAAGGTCTGCAAAAAAGAAATGCACGGGACTAACAGTCCCGTGCATTTTACAGAGCCTGCTGTCTCTGCAAAAAACAATAGCACGGGACTGCTAGTCCCGTGCAATTCCTGGGCGCAATGAAATGCACGGGACTAGCAGTCCCGTGCATTTCCTGCACATTCACTATGCATGTATTTCTGCTACGGGATAATTCCCTGTACAAACGCATATTTCAAACGCAACAATCATAAATTACACCATTGCATAAACACATATATCAATTCCCTGTACAAACTCATGTCAATTCCCTGTATAAACACATATCAAATCTAAAAATCATAAAATACACCACAAACGTACGAATCCAAATCCAACAAATCACGCCACAAACCCACTTACAAATCTAATAAGTCACACCACAATCTCAGCTACAAATCCAAAAACCATCTATTGTCCCGAAATACGTTTGTAATGTACATATCAAAATAGGATTGTAATTTATATAACAATACCAATTAGCTTACATACATCCAAGAACTCTTCTCCGGCCAAAAATGTCTATCACTGCCGGTAACGCACGGACCATCTATGCGGAGACCAAGTATCATAGCTACATCCTGTAGCGTAATAGTAGACTCTCCCATTCGGAAGTGGAAAGTGTTGGTCTCCGGCCTCCACCTATCGACGTCCACCGACGGATTGCAACATGTATGAAGCCCGCAATATCTAGATATTACAAATTGGCCATTTGTTGATTTCCTCACAGCGGCATTTAGCAACCAAGGACATTTCCTGTTTCTCTCATCTTGCTCATTTGCATGCTCTACTTCATTCTTCTCGTTGAAATAACATTTTACATAGTAGTTGGTTGTATTAGTTTTTACAGGCTTGAAATTGACC